GCCTAGGATTTAAGCTACAATCCGTTGTTCTAGACCCTTCCTGTTCTCCATTCTGCCGATCTCATTGCGCAACACCATGCAGCCTTAGACCTCCGATTTGATTTTGAATGCATGGACCCAGAGCTTTCGACACTTTCCCAGAGATTTTGTCCCCGTCCCAGATCCTTTTTGAGGGGCCTGGAACTGGAAAACAGCTCACAGGCGGCCCGAAGCTGATTTCAAAGCGTTGGAAGTCGGGTTTGATGGGTCCACGAGGATTGTATTCGTAGGCCTGGAGCAGTTCGCAGTGCCGACTAGATCCATGCGTCTCGCTCGCTCGCGCCTGCGGCCCAACGCCAGCTGAATTTTCTTGCCTGCAGATGCGGTGAGGCTTCCCTGTTGCATCAGGTGCTTCACCCCAGTGCCACTGTCAACAGTGAGCGGCCGGCCTTTTTCAAGTTTGCGCAGTCCAGTCTCCTTAGTTGCCTTGCCGCTTCGTCCTGACCTTTCTGTCCTTTCACCCTGCTTCCTTCTCCCTTTTTTTTCCTGTCTCTCTCTCTCTCTTTCTCTTTCGCTGTCTCTCTGTTTCTCCTCTGCCTCTCTTTCTCTTCTCTCTCTCTCTCTTTCCGCTCTCTCTCGTCTGTGTGTCTGCCTGCTTGCCTGTCTGCCGACCTGCCTATCTGTCTGCCCGCCTGTCGGTCCGGCTGCCATTCGGTCGGTCTGCCGTCTTGAGCCCATCTTAAGCGTTCTGGAGGCCTCTACGGCGTGCAGGAGCCGTTTTCGAGGCATCCTATAATATTTATATATATATATATATATATATATACATACTTATCTTTCGTCGGAGGGTTCACTTGGAGGCTCTGGGAGCCTAACTGGATGTGGTACCCGGGGGGAGGAGGAAAGGAGAAATGGGGACAGTCGAGCCTCTTACACGCCTTTTCATCCCCAGCAAACGGGGATCGGCGGATCTCGCCTTCTCCGTCCCTTTTCCATCTACCTCCCCGCTTCCACAGCGATTCAACATCCGCGAATCTCTTCTGAATGCACAGCTGGATCCAGTAAATCTGACCTCAATATCTGGCCGTTGCATTGGGCCGTGCAAATCGGGCGTTGAAGCGCGCAGTCGTTTGCAACTCAGCTGTTCGTGCACTATCAGTCTTCGTGCTGGTGACCACGTCGTAATTCAGCCTCATGTTCGCTAGCACCCTTCATCCACTCGTTATCATCCCTCAGTGTTCGACTCGCTCTCTGTGCTCTCCCTGCCTACGCTGCTTGTCTTGCATGCAGTTGTCAGAGAACGCCCCAGGCCTTTTCGTACATACATATATATATATATATATATATATATTTATATATATATATATGTTTTCGACAATAACACAGTGATAATCCCTGGAGGTCTGGACCCTGTCTCCAGGTCTGGTGTTTCATTCATCCCGAGTCGTTTGTCGACAGTCGTGGGGATGGCCACCCGTCCTGGGAGACAGGGCGGGGGTGGAGCAGCGCGCAGTCCAGACGACAAGGAGGGGGTGCAGAGGCGGTCACCAACGGCGGAGCGCGCACGGGGCAAAGCGGCAGACCGTAGGAAGGTACGCACTTTTGGCGTCTCGGCCACGCGCGCAGCGGGGCGGCGTAGAAAGTCGGGCGAGGATGCGCGCGCGGCTGGCCCAGGTCACGCGGCGTGGAGATTTACTGGATCCACCCATAGGGAATCGACAGCATCACCTGCGGGGGGCAGACGCGAGCGGAGCAGCAGGGACGGGGTGGTGAGGAGGCGGGGAGACGGGAAGAGCGGGGAGGTGGAGACCAGAGCAGTGCGCAGTGCAGACGCCAATGACGACGGGCATGGGCCCGCAACCGAGAGCCTTTCAGAACGCCCGAAATGGGTACATAAAGAACGGGTACAATGCCCAACAGCAGTTCTTGCTCATTTTGAACAGGACTCGCTGTCGGTGTCGCCGCGGCCTGTGTACATTCGAGACAGAAGGCCGCCTGCCCAACAGCGGCCGCTGTTGGTTTGGGACAACATTTGTTGTTGGGCATTGTACCCATTCTTTCCGTACCCATTTCGGGCGTCCAAAGCCTTGGGCAAAGCAGACACAGGGATGAGACCGTGCGAGAGTACACGCGCAACTCCTCGCACAGATGGGACACCAGTACGGATTTTTCTAACGGGGGGCCTGAGCAGAGTGTGGGTAGAGCAAGCAGGTACGGTTGCGCGAGGGACGCATGGGTGCTGGGTGCGCAGACATTCGCACAGCATGTCGGCACGTAGTAGCGAGGAGTCCATCCGTTTGTCTTTTCTCTCCCCAGGCATTCTCGCGTCGTGAAGAGATGCGACGGAAGGTTTACGGCAATTTTGCAGCCGCCCTAGGGCCCGTACCGAGCTCCGGGACTGTCAAAACCTGATTAGGGGTTGCAGAGGTGGTCCGTAGGAAAGGGGGCCAGGCCTCGTGGGAACCGCGTTGTGAAAATCACGACGTCTGATGTCTGGGTTTGCGCAGCATGATTAGCAGCCGTCGCGATACCGTAGGCACATCTTCGCTCAGTGCTGGCTATGGCGTGAAAGGCCGGCCGCACCCCTCCGCCTCCCACCAGCTCGCTTTTTGTTTCGCCTTCCGTCCCTTTGCAGCACATGCGACCCGGCGTCGTGAAAAACAAACGACGTTCTTATTGTTTTGTTGGCCCACTCTCGTGGCTCTGGGGCCGTTGCTGGGCTTTGGGACCATCAGAATCCGACTCAGGATGAACAGCTGGTCCCTGTGATAACCTCAGGAAGGCATTAAGAACCCCCCCCCCCCCTCCCTTTTCCGGTGGATTATAACGCCCCCGCACCCTGGAGCGTTATGGCCGCACCGGAAGACCTGGCTGAGGGGACTCGGGGCCTAGCTAAGGCCTGCCAAGCGCAGATTTGCTCCTGCCAAGCAGTTTAGCAGGGCCAAGCAGGGCTTAGCAAGGTTTAGCACGACACCCTCTCTTGGCGTTAGTGGGGCGGCCGCCGATGGTGGATTTTGTTTTCTGTGTGCGGCGGGTGCTAAGTGTATCGTTCGGCTAAAACTGCCCGCCTGGAATATTGAGAAAACCGGGTGCTAAGAATAACCCAGGGGGGTTTCTTAATGCCTTCCAAGGAGGTTACCTCCTTGGGGAGCCACGTTCCAATCAGATTCGCGACGTCGGGTGCCTGGGCCATCTCATCCCCGCAGTATTTTCGGTTCGCACCAGATCCGTCAACGATGCAGCCCTTCGCATTGGGGCGGGTGGGGCGGAGGGAGGGTGGGAGGTGACAGGGTTTACCCCCTCGGCGCGTGACACGTGCAGCGCCATGGTGGCGGCAAGGTGGGGGAGGAAGAGGGGGTGGATGGGGAGGAAGAGTCCTCCTCCTTCCTCCTTCCCACCTCCAGCATCCGTGTCTTTTGCAGTTTCGCCCGTATGTGCTAATCAGTATTGGCATGAAGGCAGCGGCATGCGAATACGGTAAGTGCACAAGCGACGTTACATTGCATGCAATGGCATGTGGTAAGGCAAGCACATGCTACTTGCGATCGATCAGTACCACACCTTGTATCGGTGGATGATTGCTGCTTTTGCTGTCGCCGGGTCCCTGGGACAGACGGCGGATTGGGGCGGTCTTGCCACCCTCTCCCCCCCAGGCCTCCGACGTCGTAATGTTTTCGCAACGTGGACCACTGGAGGCCCCGACCCTTCTTCGTTGCCAGGTTTCCATCCCGAGTCGGTTTTCGACGGCTTCGGGTCCCGGCAAGAGCGAGAGGAGCTTGAAAGTGGGCCGGAAACAGGTCCGCCGTATTCTTTTTTGCGACGCGACGTCAGGGTCTGCCCCGCTTTCGTTCTGTTGTGGAGTCATGGGGAATGTTCTCGCCAGAGGCTCTGCCTCCCGCGACGCAGCGTATTTTTTGGGGATGCGGCTGGAGTCCGCCAAGGACGATGGCGCTGCTGAACTGCACGCCTAGCGTTTGAAAAAGCAGTCCTACTCAAAGAGGGCTCCTCAGCTGCTGCCGCCGCTCCTCGTGCCGGCCGCGCCGAGGCGGCCCCTGCCGGGGCGGCCGGGAGGAAGTCCAGCGCTTGCACGGCTCGGTGTGGCAGAGGCGGGCGGGCGCGCCTGCGAGGGGCGGGAGGGAGCGGAGGGGGGCGGAGGAAGGAGGGGCCGGGGAAGGGAAAGGGGGGGGGCCCTCGTCGAGTCGCAAAGATGCACGAGGGAAGGCTTGTGGCCGTTTTCGGCCCCTCGTGGGCCCTCACCCAGCCCTGGGAGCGTCACAGTAGGGGAGGGGTCCAGACCTCTGGAGGCCACGTCGTAAGGGGAGGACGTCGGGGGGGGATTCCTCAGGATTCAGCAGGGTCTTGCGATCCCCTTCATGATTTCCCACATGACTCGAGTGGATTCCTTGACGTTCTCCAGATTTCGCGGGATTCTTTTGGATACGTCAGGTGTCATCCAGTTTCCCTTCAATGTTCCACATGGTGCCTCCGGCGACGTCGCAACGGCGTCGCATCTCCTGTAATTACCCTCCTGGGACCAACTGTGGCCTCCTATGGCTCCTTGAGGCTTCCTGGGTGCTTCTGGGGCTCCCTGGGGATCACTGAGGCTTCCTGCGGCTTCCTGAGAGTGATTTGGGACATTTACACCCCTCATGCTTCATACATTGCTTAGCTCCCCCCCTCCCGCGCCGCATCCACTGCCGTATCAGCCCCCAGCGGGCAAATCGATCCTTGCAAACCGCACTGCGTTCGCTTGCAGCGTGTATCACACATTCTCCCATTCGCATCTCTTATCCCACTCTCTTGCACATCCCCTTCCTCATCGGGATCCCCCTGCCGACCTCCGTGGAGCAGGGGGATAGCGAGAAACGCTCAGCAGCGCTTCGAGTCTGGTAGCTGACCGTCGGAAACGGCGCTCTGCGGCCACACGCTTAAGAGCACCACTGCCACTGCGACTACTTCTACCCCTTGCAGGGGGCCGCAATGCCCCAAGACGCGCCGACACCGCTCCCGCCACGCCTCAGGCAGTGGCGCGGCGGGCGGAGCCTCACTTCGAAGGGCACGCGAGAGGGCGACTCGCACCTGCTCGTGTCCACCCTGGGAGCCTCACAGCGAGGCCTGCCGCCGGAAAGTGCGGCGTCGCGGCACCTCTCCCCCTTGGTCTTCAGCGCCGAAGCGAAAGAAACACCTGCCGAGGAGGCCCCGCCGGCCGAGGAGCCGCCGTGCGGGTCACCCGACGAGGAGCTGGCCGCGGAGCCAGAGCCTCCGCCGAGGGGCGCCTTGACAAGCGCCGAAGCGCAGGCGCAGCCCGGCGCTGAGGCGCAGGCGCAGCCGGGCGCCGTGGCGCAGGCGGAGCCCCACGCCGCTGGGCAACCGAGCAGACGACCTTCAGCGCTGGCCATGGCGGCAAGTAGCAGTGGCACCATGGCGGTGGGCGGCGCGCAGTGCCAGCCTCGCATCTTCGGCGCGGCACCCCGCCGCTACAGACAGGGCGCAGTCGTGGCGCCACTGCGGCTCCATCATGGTGGAACCCAGAGATGGAGCACGACGCAGCGTGCCCGTGCGCCATGACAGAATGCGACGGTGGACGGCCGCCACCAAGCTCAGCGTGGAACGCCAAAGGCCCATGCTGAACCTCGCCGTGGGCGCGAGGTCACGGTGGAGTGGTTTTGGACCGACGGGCGGGGGGCCGTGGCGAGGACAGGAGTGGATGTGCTCCTGGCGGTGTTGCTCGCCAAGCGCCCTCCTGGTCTGGAGGCGCAGATGCTCCGCACCGGGCTGGATATCTTCAAGTGCATGCCGAACCGCGACGAGGACATGCAGGGCACGTTCTTCCTATTCGACGTCCTGCTCGACCGTGCCAGCCGGCGCACGGAACTCGGGATTTCGATCTTTTTGAGGACTTGGATGCTCCTGTCGCGATTGCGCTTCCTAGCGCGCAAATGGGCAGGGATCCTGCGCTTGCGACCGCAGGCTGTTCAGGACGGAGCAGGAGTTCCAGCTGGTCAAGGCAAGGCTTCTCCGAGACCGAGCGATCGAGGAGGACGTGTCGACCGTCGAGCTGGGCAGGACTGGGGCGCCGGGCGTATATTTCGCTGACGCCAACAAGGACCCGCCTCCGCTGTGCCTGGCCATGGCGGCCGGGAGCGCCGCTGGGACGGCGGCGCGCCTTGCCCAGGGCGCTGCGATCGGACGCGGTCACAGCAGCGAGGCGGGCCAGAACGTTTTCTTCGGGCGATGAAGATGACGGCGAGACGTGGTGGAGTGGAGCACGGAAACCGACTGGTGGGGGCGGGAGGCCGCCGAAGACCCGTGGCCAGCCGACGACCGTATGGAGACGGAGCAGAGCGCGGCCGCAGACGCCCTCGTCCACGTTCGCCCACGCGTGGTGGGCTGCGCCGGCGGCGGATCGCCGGCACGCCGCAGCTGGCTGGTTCGTTCCCAAGCACAAGACCAAGCAGCGCCACGTACGCGCCAAACGCTGCGCCAAGCGTTGCGCCAAGCGAAGCCCTCCCCGCGCCGCTGGCGGCCCTCCGAGGCGCGGGTTCTTCCTGGGCCAGACCTTCGTGAGCATGGGCCACGTGCGGGAGCTGGCCATCAAGGCTTTTTTCGAGGGCCAGCCCTGCGGCAACAGCAAGGTTCGTGTCAAACGCGGCCCGCCAAGGACTGCGAGCAGCCGTGTAAAACATTTTTCGCCACGGAGGACGAGGCGCACTAACGCGAGGGGCAAAGGGAAAAGGGGGGGCTCCTCAATATGGGCACGGAGGAGGATTTCATGATCAGGTAAGAGCAGGCGGGCGGAGGAGGAGGCGGAGGAGGAGGGGGAGGATGGGGATGATGATGGTGAAGAGGATAGTGGTGATGCTGGTGCTGATGCTGATGCTGCTGCTGATGATGATGTTGCTGCTGCTGATGATGGTGTTGGTGAAAAGGGTGATGGTGCTGATGCAGAGAGTGAAGATAACGATCTTCTCGGTAATGGTGGTGGTGATGATGAGAATGACGATGGTGCTGATGATGATACTGGCGATGAGGATACTGAAGCTCATGACGCTGATGATGCTGCTGCTGATGATGATGATGATGTTGCAGAAGGTTATGTGTAGGAGAAGGAAAAGGAGGAGGAGGAGGGGGAGGTGAAGGGGCAGAGGAGGAGGAGGAGGAGGAGGAGGAGGTAACGCGGAGGAGGAGGAGGAGGAGGAGGAGGCTGAGGAAGAGGGGGTGGATATGAGGGGAGGAGGAGGAACAGGAACATGATGACAATGATGATGATGTTGATCATGCTGATTCGGATGATCATGATGATTTTGATGTCTGTGCTGATGATATGTTGCTGGTGAGCATGAAGGTGAATATGTTGATGGTGTTGAAGGCGATGATGATGATGATGATGGACGCGTATGATGATGAACCATGAAGATGATTCATGATGTGGAAGGTGCTGCTGATATACTAGTAGGCAGTAGTAGTAGTAGTAGTAGTAGTAGTAGTAGTAGTAGTAGTAATAGTAGTAGTAGTAGTAGTAGTAGTAGTAGTAGTAGTAGTAGTAGTAGTAGAAGTAGTAGTAGTAGAAATCGTAGTAACCGTATTCGTATTAGTATTAGTAGTGGTGGTAGTCGTAGTAGTAGTAGTGGTAGTAGTAGTAGTAGTAGTAGTGGTAGTAGTAGTAGTAGTCGTAGTAGTAGTCGTAGTAGTAGTAGTAGCAGTAGCAGTAGCAGTAGTAGTAGTCGTAGGCGTAGGCGTAGTCGTAGTAGT